AAGTAGCGAAGCACCCATAGGGAGAGACATTTCAAAGAGCCACAGTTACTGCACAAGGTGAGTAATCTCTTTCAAGCAGTCACCCTTAGGGTCCACTTCAGGTGTCTTCCAAGCAGTATCCTCTGTGTGGGTAGAGGGAGCTTCGGCATTGAGTCTAGAAGTGGAGATATTACTGCAGACGCAAGTATCACAGTGGCTCTGACAGCTTGGGTTAAAGTATAATGTTTTGAAAAAATGTTTGACCTGAAGCCCATGTAGTAGTCCTAAATATTGCAGGTACTGACATGTTCTTAAGTAATACTGTGGAATTCCCTTATGATCTGATCTAATGTGCTATCGCTCTTTGGGGGGTGAAGACCTGCGGCATCTTAACAAGTGCTAATACATCCAGATATTCTTCTCAATAATCTGGGCATAGATCACGGGTCTCTTGGATCTACCTGCAAAAGAGATGAAGAGCCTATATGACTTTTAGGTTGCTTGGTCCCACCTAAGTAGAAAGTGAATGTCCTTCTAATATCTAGGATATGAAAACAAGACTTCTGAAGACAATTAAGTGGCTTTGGAAAAGATACTGGTGGATGAGTGGATTGGTTAAGATGGAATTCCAAGAGAACCTTAGGTAAGAATGTAGGGTGTGGATATAAAGACACTTTTGTCCTTCAATATCATTCAAGGGGTAGGGATAGATCTGCCATCACAATTTCAAATTCTCCAATGATACAGGCTGATGTGATGGCTTCTACAAAGGCGGTCTTCATACATAAATGGAACAGAGAACAGCTTGCCACAGGTTCAAATGAAGGTCTCATAAAAGTAAATGAGTACCAAGTTGAGGTGCCAGGTCAGAGTGGGGTCTCCAACAGGGGGGGGATAGAGATTCTCCAAACCTTAGTAAACTCAGATGATACTGGATGAGCACATACGGAGAATCCTTTTACCACAGAATGCAAGGCTGATTCTGTGACCAAATGGACCTTAAATGAAACTGATAACCCCAATTTTTTCAGATCCAGCAGATAATCTATGATGACTGAGAATAGCCGAGATTCAGGCAGGAGGCAGTAATGACTATTGCTCCTCCCTGCTTTTTGATACAGAACATGTGAGATATACATCTGTCATGACCAGTGTTCCCTCTAAGATTTTCTACCCGTGAGCCGAGTGAGTTTTGTCTTCTGCACCAACATTGAGGTCATGTGTGCTTGTTCAGAATGCTACAGAGTTCTATTTGAGGTTGTGTGTTTAGCACTGGTGTATAATCTGAAATTTAAATAGGACACTTTGGCCCCTAATTTTCATAAGGATTTTGAACATGGTTATGTGAATTTTATTCTGAATGAAAACCTAGAATAAATAAAATCAGCCTTTAATTTTGATACCCCCCTAAAACAAACTGCAGTATCTTGGGATTTTTAAAAGAAGGATAATAGTTACTGTTATGGAAAAGACGACAAAATTTCAAACACTTTGTGCCTGCAATGCAGCCCCAGCCACCACTGGAACAGCTGCCACCACCATGCAGTCCCGGCTGACACCAGAGCAGCTGCCCCTGCTGCACAGCCCTGCCCAGGAGCAGTAGTGTGGTGTCTGCCAGATTTGGAACCAGGGCTGGGGTGAGGCTGCCTCAGTAAGGACAGTCTCACTATGGACCTGGCTTCATGCGTGGCACAGAGGGCAGCCACACACCATGGCTACGTCTACACTGGCATCCTTTTCCGGAAATGCTTAAAACAGAACAGTTTTCCATTATAAGTATTTCCATAAAAAGCGCGTCTACATTGGCAGGATGCTTTTCCGGAAAAGCACTTTTTCCGGAAAAGCATCCGTGCCAATCTAGACGCGCTTTTCTGCAAAAAAGCCCTGATCATCATTTTCGCGATTGGAGCTTTTTTGCGGAAAAGATATCTGTGCTGTCTACACTGGCCCTTTTCCGGAACAGTTTTCCGGAAAAGGATTTTTGCCCGAACGGGAGCAGCATAGTTTTTCCGGAAAAGCACTGATGATTTTACAGTAGATCGTCAGTGCTTTTCCAGAAATTCAAGGGGCCAGTACAGACAGCTGGCAAGTTATTCCAGAAAAGCGGCTGATTTTCCGGAATAAGTGGCCAGTGTAGACACAGCCCATGTAGCCCCTCCCCGGGAGCATCTGGGGTTGGGGCTGCGTGGTGGCTGCTGGGGCCAGAGCCGCAGTACTAAAAATAGCACCACGGCCTGGCTCCAGTCCTGGAGGTGGGGCCACATTGCAGGCAATAGGCAGTTCCCCCATGTGCTGGGACTGGCTATAGTATCCAACTGGAGACTGGAACCAGGGCTGTGGTACAGCTGCTCTTGAGCCAGTGGATTATTCACCCCCTCCTCCCATGCCCCCATTCTCAAGGAAAGAAAGCCAAAACCAACTTTAGCATCCAGGGAAAACAAAATTTGTTGATAAAATGTCTGCAACAATTTGAAACCAGCTTTCCTTCTGGCAGGGGCAGATGACCATTTTGCGGGGCCCCGGGTAGTATATTTCTGCGGGGCCCCCCTTTGCTACGGCGCATGCGCGGGGCTTTTTGAGGCGCGGGGCCTGAGGCGGCTGCCCCATTCACCCTGCCCTATATCCGCCCCTGCCTTCTGGTGACTCCAAGGTTGGCACATGTATTGCAACAATTTCCTAACAGCAAGTGACCAGAAGAGCTCACATACATGAACGGGCAAAGTCTGTCTCCTTCTCCAGAGTTGTAAAGGGCCCCTTTTGCAAGAAAACTCACTATAAAATGCACAAGTCCAGCTGCAGATGTTGTCCAGGGGAAGAGCAGGGGCCAGGTGGTATGAATGTTATACATAATACTCCAGCCACTATGTTCTATTAATCCTCTTCTCCTGTGCCTAGCAAAATTACCAAGAGAGGGCACTGGAGATAATACCTGCTCCTAAATAAAAAAAGTCAGGAGTGTTCCATGTTGGCTGTTATTGAACAATATACTACTTTTACAAATATTTTGGCAGTCTGTTTTCACCTCTGTCACCCTACACATTCTGAAATTTCCATTACATGCAAATCCTGCCAGCCATGTTATCCCCCATTCATATTTTTATATAATTTTTAATATTTTTTCAGTTTTTATGTGTGTGTAGAAAGGCGGATGGCCCCCCTCTAACCCAGAAGGGGCACTTCAATGTGCCACGGTGAGCAGAGTTAGATCACTCTTGCCCCACACCCTGGAAGCAGAGCAGTGGGGCCAGAAATCTAAAGACTGGAACTGGGAGCTCAGTTGGAGCCCAGCCATCAGAGGAGATGGATGTTCCTCCTGGTTCTTCAGAGTGGGAGACTCAGGTGAGCCCACAGGCAGAGGACAATAAGCCTGGACCACTGCTTGACACCGATCGGGGGGAAGCCTGCAACTGACCTGGGTTACAGACACGGATCCCGAGAAGTAGCAAGTGTTGCCCGATCCCTGAGACTGCTGGTACCCCTGGAGGAGGAGTACGGTGTTTCCCAGGGATAGCTGGAGTGAATGCATGGCGGTATGGACTCCCCACTGACTCAGAGGCAGACTAGACTGTTGCCTTCAGGCCCTGGGCTGGGCACAGTGGAGTGGGAGGGCCTGCACCCCCTGCCTCTCACCCTTCGGGGGAGGCAACCTACTTCTCCACCTACCTAGAACGGAATAATTTCCCTGATCTGCCTGCAGACCGGCTGAGCTCAGTGACTCGATATCTGCCCCGCCCTGAACTGAGGCTTGGGCTGAACTCTGGGACTGGCTTCTCCAAACCAGAGCAGGGGCCTAGTGACTCATTGTAGGGAGGCAGGTTGGCCCCATCTCTGGTCCGCTCTGATGAGTGAAATTTATGTTAAGGATGAGTGCCAGGTAGACAGCCTTCGGGACCTAAGTCCTGTTAAACCATACAACAAGAATACTACAGCTGTAGCCAGTACAAGCTTCCTCCCACAGCTGTTGCAACATGTTCCAGACATGACCTGCCTAGAGGGAGCCCCTCTAGGATGGAAGCACAGTTCAGTCTTCATGTGTATGCAGTCCCTGACCTCTTTTGAGGGCTTGTCTAGACTTGAAATGCTATAGTGGTACAGCTACGCTGCTGTAGTGCTTCAGGAGATCTCCTGTGACTGTCATTAAACCACTTCCCAAGAGGCAGTTGCTATGTTGATGGACAAGTTCTTCGGTTGACCTAGCGTTTTTGACACTAGAGTTCGGTTGGCTTAACTATGTCACTCAAGATTGTGGATTTTTTTTCACCTTTGAGCAACATAATTGGGTCAATCTAATTTTCCAGCGCAGTGTTTCTCAAACTGTGCTCCGTGGAGCGAGACATCTCCAGGGGCTCCGCGAGGCTGACAACTGGAAACATCGATAGGTACAACACATACAATCAGTGGACCACTGGGGCGTCGCATAAATTTTTACGTTTGTAAAAGGCTCCGGAGCCCAGAAAGTTTGAGAACCGCTGTTCTAGCATAGACCAACCCTGAAAGTGCTAGTAGTGATACCAGGTAATGCCAATTGTGATGGTGCTGGTTTCTATCCATTGAGAATCAGACAGATTAGCAATTCACTTCACCAAATAGCCACTAGCCAATAATTTGTGATCACTATTGACACGAGTTGGATTTGATTTTGCAAGGTAGCACCAATGTGTTATCATTACTCAATGTTTCAAGCACTCAAATAGGAAAGGACTAATGAATTTGTTGTCTGGGGGTATGCAACAGGGTCAGATGCCTCCTGCACTCTCCCTTGTGGTCAACGAGAGACTCTGTGATCCCCTACCTCAGTTTCCCCTCGTGGAAACTCAATAACTCAAAAGAGACTTCCACAAGTCTAATAACAGCCCATCCTGGGATCTGGTTTTGTTAACGAAGTTCCAAACAAACACAACAACAAATCCTCCATTTAAGCTTGGCACAGCCCCTCCTCCCCATCTGTCTCTTCCTTTGTTCTTAATGGACACAATGGAAAAGACAAGGCCTGGCCTGGCCTGGCCTGACTTTTTGGTCTTCTCCCAAAAATGAAAATGAAATTCCCCACTGGGTCTTTCTGCCCAGCACCAACTGTCTTCCTCAGGGACCACTGAAGGAGACTTCTCTTCTTGTAGTTTCACTCAGCAGTCCCTCATTCCCAGAGGCCTACTTTAGTCACATGACTGGCTGCCATGGAACTAATTCATTCTCTCCACCTGGGCTGGCATGCCAACTGTGTCACAGATTGGGAGAGACATATCTCCTGGCAGAAAGGCCAGCCACCCTGTGACACGAGGTACATTTTTCATTGGCTAGCACAGAACATATTTTTGACCTTAGGTTAAATTCAGTCCTGGTTTAAGTACAACTGCAGTGAAGTAACTGCGGATGCAAACACACTTACAATGGGGCTGAATTTGGCCTTTTCATGTATTGGATGCCATCCTGTGCAATGAAAAATGCAAACTCACCAGTTCCAGAGATGAGAACAGCTACTGTCACTTTGCTTCTTTGGAGTTTGACATGGAGGTGACTGTCCACATCAGCAGCATTCTGCAGAAACTGGAATCTATTTAACTGCAAGGCTTTAAGGAGATTCTTGACTTTGACATGAGAAGATCCTTCAAAGTAAAATATCAAAATAATTTTCCATTCAGAATCGACTAAGCAACCCTATCATTGAGAACTTATGCTAACATCATTACTTACACAATATTTGAAATAAAGAAATGAATAACTTAACTAATCCCATTGAATGCATGCATGAAGTTACTCATTTGTAACAGTTTTCAAGACTGGGACCTACAATAGTAAAGACCTATTAACAGAGCTCTTTCATCCCATATCAAACCTTTATCTTGCCCACTCTCCCTCCCTCCCTCCCTCCCTTGTACTGCCCTAGAGGAGATGCCAAAAGTAATCTCAACTGAACCAAGACTTGCTTGGGTCTCCCTTATTAAAGCTGCTGCTTGTGGATTATAAAGAGCCTAGTGAAAGTTTCACTTCATGAACACCCAGTGGATGGAGCTAGTTAATAGAGATTCACCTAACTCAGGAATGATCTAACTACCAGGTGGGAAAACACAAGCATGTAACTGCACAAAATAATTGTTGCTGTAGTCATCTGGGAATTTTGTTGACAAAATATTGGCAAAATATAACCCACAAAATTAATTTTTATTGCAGTCATAACATTAAAGTACCTACACATCTATAGACACTAGGGAGATTTGCCTGAGTCTTGAACAGTTTTACAGGCTTCTCTATCCACTGACTCAGTAATGTCCATCTCTAGTAGCAAATTCTCTCTCACTTTATCTATACTTAAGAATGAAGGACCCAGGTGCTAAGCTGAGGGGAAATGCATGTGAAAGCATGATGTCTCGTAGTAAGTGCTTAGAACTAGGGATGTCAATGTGTAGTTGACTATACGATTAACCGATAAGCCTGTGAGATAGGCTTATCAGTTAATTCTATCAACTACATGCATTCCCCCCGCCCCACTGCCTCTGTATCAGAGGCAGCAAGGGGGGGAAATGGGAACCGGTGCCCGTGAGAAGCTGGCTTTAAACAGGCTACCCACAAGCACCAGATCTGCCTCCCCTCCCCTCCCCGCCACCCTGTGCTGCTGCCTCTGATAGAGAGACAGCAGTGCAGAGGGTGAGGGGCGCAGGCTGGAGCCGATATGTGCAGGGAGCCAGCTTTCAAGCCAGTTCCCCAGGAGTATCAGCTCTGCGGACCTGCCTGCCACCCCCCCTTGCTGCTGCCTACAGAGGTTGGGGAGGCAGGCAGGAGCCAGTGCTGGGGGGAGCTGGCTTAAAAGCCGGTTCCTTCCCAGCAGCAGCTCTGCGGTGCACTTGTCCCTCTCTCCCCCAGTATTGCTGCCTCTATCAGAGGCAACAGCAGGGAGTGGGGCAGGGGAGGCTGCCGCAAAGCAGCCTTTGTCCGTGGTGAGCTTGGGCCCACTGTGGACAGAGGGGCTGCTGCAGAGCAGCCTATCAGTGGGGGTTCCAAGTTCTTGGTGGACCTCAGACCCCTCCCCCCCCCGACGCGGCTGCTGCCTCTGTATGAGAGGCAGCAGCGCAGGGGGACAACAGCCGGTCCACAAGGGGAGCTGGTTTTTAAACTAGCTCCCCTCACGACCAGCTCTGCCTGTCATCCTGCGCTGCTGCCTCTGATTCAGAGGCAGCAGTATAAGGTAGTAGGGGGCTCCCCAGGAGTGGAGCCAGGAGTGCCCTGGCTGCTGGCCCTGCTCCCGGGGCCTATCGAATAGTCGTGAAACTGCTAACATTTAATGCAATTACACAACTATTCAGTTACACGATATCTAACATCCCTACTCAGAACCTCATAAGACTGGACCCTTACTGATCTACTTTGTGACTGTGTATACAGTTTAAATAGAGCATCTCTAAGGGCCTGATCGAAACCCCACTGAAGTCAATTAATGGCTTTTCAGTATTTCAGTGGACTTTGGATCAGGCTCTAATGAATGGAATTCCATTTGTCTTATTCCAAGTTAAGAAGCTGAGTTACCTGTGTGACTTGAGACTATATTTCCTATCAGCCAGGCTTCCTCATGCCTCTGTACATCCTTCAGAACCTGTTGAGCCAACTCCTTCTCCACCACCAAGACTGCGCCGATCCCACAATTAAACGTACGGGCCATCTCCTCTTCTGAGAGGTTCCCCTCCTTTTGGAGCCAGGAGAAGATCTCAGGTATCCGCCAACTGCAAGCATCTGAAAATGGTGTTGGTAAGTGTTGGATATAAACCACTGTATAATCAGTACTATCCCTCTACATTTTAAAAGCTTCCTGTACATCCAGGAAGGGTCCAAGACGAGCTGCCGGCGCTGTAGGTGAAATGTGTGATCGGCACGCAATCGGCGCCCCTGCCTCTAAAGCCCTCAACGGCAGTTTATCTTCGTGCCCTAGGCAACCGCCTACGTCCCCTATATTGACGGGCCACCACTGTGTACCTCTTGCATTAAAGCTTATGGGAGCTGCATTGCTAACACCTTGACACAGCCTATAGAAAACATACTGCTGTCGATGAGCAGTGATAGCTCCAAGTGACATTTGTCCCAGATCAGTCAGAAACACGAAGCTCCAGCCCCGGCCATTCATACCCATAGTGGAAAGTGCAGGGGTTGCCTTCTGCTGAGCAGGTGTCTCAAAGTGACTAAATGCAGGTGAGGAGTTTGCTACAGACCAGTTGTTCCCAAACTTTTTAGTAAGTATGGGTATGTCTACACTACAAAGTTAGTTCGAACTAACGGACGTTAGTTCGAACTAACTTTGATAGGCGCTACACTAGCGCTCCGTTAGTTCGAACTTAATTCGAACTAACGGAGTGCTTAGTTCTAACTAGGTAAACCTCATTTTACGAGGATTAAGCCTAGTTCGAACTAGCTAGTTCGAATTAAGGGCTGTGTAGACCCTTAATTCGAACTAGAGGGAGGCTAGCCCTCCCCAGCTTTCCCTGGTGGCCACTCTGGCCAACACCAGGGAAACTCTATTGCCCCCCTCCCGGCCCCGGAGCCCTTAAAGGGCCACGGGCTGGCTACACAGTTTGTGCCAGTTGCAAGGCTGCAAGGACCCGTGCTGTCCACTCTGGCCAACACCAGGGAACCTCTATTGCCCCCCTCCCGGCCCCGGAGCCCTTAAAGGGCCACGGGCTGGCTACACAGTTTGTGCCAGTTGCAAGGCTGCAAGGACCCGTGCCAGCAGACCCTGCACCTGCCACACCATGAGCCAGCCACCCCTTTCTTTTAGCCACAGGAACGCGGCCGCATGGCCCACCAAGGAGCAGCAGCTGGGGATCCTGCAGGGGCCCTGGCCTTGCAGAGGGGAGCTGGGTTTCACACACCTGGGCCCCTGGGGTAATTGACCGCTGGTCTTGTTGCACCACAGCTGCAGCACCTGGGCCTGCAGGGCGCACCACACCGCCTACAGCAGCTGCCCGTGCCCGGGCAAGCAGGAGAGCCAGGAATGAGGAGGAATACCAGAGGCGGCACCTCCGGCAGGGGGCCCTGGGGCTGCGCCGGAGGAGGCTGGAGGCCCTGGAGGAGCAGGGCCGTGCCCTGCGAGGCCACCTCCAGAGCCTGCTCGACCGCTTCCCATTTCCTCCTCCCCCTGCTCCCCCTTCTCCTCCTGCTCCCCCTGCTCCCCCTGCTCCCCCTCCTGCTTCCGCTCCTGCTTCCTCCCCCCCCCCCCTCCCCCC